AAGCTGCTCCTTCCAAAATCCCGGGATATGGTTTGCAGGTACAACCTGGGAGGGGGAAAATTGGGAATTTTGGGAATTGCTGCAGCAGCTGGAAGAGGAATTAATACATTTTAGATTTCATTTGAAGCCATTTAAGCCTTGAAATTCAAATTATTCCTGGATTTTTGCATGGAATTTGGGGTGAGGAATTTGGGAATTCCAGATAAGGTTGTTCAGATGCTCCTCATTATCCATGGAATGAATCCATGGAATCATGGGAAGGTTATATTCATTCCATGTGAGTGGAACATGGTTTAATAAATTTCAGATTCAAATTGGAGCCATTTAAGCCTTGAAATTCAAATTATTCCGGATTTTTGCTTGGAATTCAGGCATAAGGAATTCCTGAATTCCTTATCCCAAATTCCCAGCAAAAATCCATCCGAGCTTGGAATAATTTGAATTTCAAGGCTTAGATGGCTCCAAATTGAACACAAAATTTATTAAACCATGTTCCACACACATGGAATGAATGGAACCATTCCATGATTCCATGGATTCATTCCATGAGGAGCATCTGAACAACCTTATCCCGAATTCCTTACCCCAAATTCCAAGCCAAAATCCGGGATAATTTGAATTTCCCACCTTCTGTCCCCTCTGAATTGCAGGTGAGGCACCCCGAGGTGGGGCCACGCTCTCGAGGCTCCCCCCGGAGCCCGTCCAGATCTCCCCAGGAACGTTCCAGCAGGAGGAACCCCCAGAGGAGCTCAGCATCCCCCTCCAGGCACAGCAAACTGTGAGTGGGGACAGCCCCGGGAATTCTGCACTGCCCTGGCTCCTCTGCTGCCTTCTCCTGCCTCTCTCAGGGCTGGGGTTTGTTGTTCTTTATCAGTTTGGTAATCATTTCCAATATTTTGAGCTGGAATTCCCAAGCCTAGGCAGGAATCAGCTCCAGCTGTGAGTAACAGGGGATTTTAAACTCCACCTGGAAACTCCCAAATATTCCTTTGGGAAAAGATGACCCTGCTCCAGACACGAATCCCTGCTCCTTTCAGGGGAAAGATGAACGTTTGACAAGAAAGTTTCATGGATATGTGTGCTGTAGAAAAATCTCTGCTTGATTTTCCTCTCTCAGGGTCAGGATTTTGGTGCTAAAAAATGTGATTTTTCTTTTTTGGGCTTGCAGGCACAGCAGCCGGGAGGAGAAAGGCAGAACCAGGAGCCCTTCCCCAAAAAAGAGCTTCAGGCGCCAGCACCCTCCAGGCTACACCAGGTCAGTGCCACCCTGTGCTGGGCACAAAGCCCTGGGCACCAGATTTTCCTCTGGTGGCAGCAGGGGGACGGGTGAAACCTCCAAAAATCACAGCCAGGGGCATCCAGGGCTCACCTGGGGGTGGAGGCACCACCCCTGGGGGTGTTGAACCAGGGCTGGAGGTGGCACTGGGGGCCAGGGCTTGGTTCAGGTGTTGGGGCTGGCTTGGACTTGATGATTCAGAAGGTCTCTTCCAACCCAGTGATTGAAATCTGTGAATTTTGGGAATCTGGAGGAATTTTGGGCATTCCCAGGGATTAGGGAGGTGGTGGAGTCATCATACCTGGAGGTGTTTAACCAAGGCTGGAGGTGCCAGAGCTTGGTTGAGGTGGTGGGGCAGGGTTGGACTTGATGATTCTGAAGGTCTCATCCAACCCAGTGATTCTGGAAATTCTATAATTAGGAGGTTCTGTTCCATCAGACAAAAAAAAAAAAAAAAGGACCCTGGCAACATCATCTTGGAATTAAAGCCAATTAGGAGTTCAATTAAATCCAAGAGGGATTACAATTAAATTCAAGAGGGATTAAAATTAAATTCAAGAGGGAGATTAAATTCAAGAGGGAGATTAAATTCAAAAAGGAGAAAAGAACCTCCTGCTGGGTTGTGGGGAGGCAGAACATTTTTAAAAATGGCATTTTAAAAATGTCCTCACAAGCTGCCAGAGACAAACCTGTGTTAAATCCCCTTAATTTTGGAGGATTGTGAAGCAAATTTGGTTGATCTGGACCTTTTCCAACCTGAACAGTTCCACCATCCCAAAGTGAGGAAGGTGAGGGCTGTGGGGTGTTGGTGTTTCACAGAAAAATCTCTCCAGAAATGTTTTCCTGCTTAGATTATTTCCTGTAACTGTTTGAAAATTCAGGGTTTCAGTGTGAACAGGCTGAAAATTAAATCCCAATTTCCACCACTACAGAAAAACCCCTTTGCACCTGGCTTTATCATTTAGATCAAGAAAATTAATGTCTTTCCACAAGTGTTGATAAGTCTTTGGCAATTTTAATTAATGAGCATTCAGTTTTCCCTCTAATAAAAATATATTTGCCCTATAGACTCTTTAGGAAGATTTTTGACCTCGATTATTCTCTTTTATTTTGATATTTGCATCAAAATAAACCCTGTTCTCATTAGGATATTAAAGGTTTGTAGGAATTCTCTATGTGATGCTTCTGTTCCCTCTCAGAATCTAACTAAACAATCACTAATTTTGCTTTTTTTTTTAAATTAATCTCACTCCTGCAAGTGCCTTATTTTAATTTATAGTTTGGCAGATTTTTGTTTCTGCCAAAATCTGGTGGTTGTGAAAATGCTTTTATGCAGGGATGTGTCTGTCTGTGCAAACAGGAAGATTTCTCCTGAGGAACTGGAGAGAAAACGTCAGGAAATGATGGAAAATGCCAAGTGGAGGGAGGAGGAGAGAGCCAAAAACCTGAGGAAGCACCGAAAGGAGGAGGAGCTGGAGAGGGAACTGGAGAAACTCGACTCCAGGGATGGGAAGTTCTTCCAGTGAGTCTTTTATTCCTTCCACATCCAAGGGGAAATTCAGATTTTGGGGTGTTTCAGATTATCTCCCTGACAGAACTGCTGTTTCCAAATTTCCCCTCCACTCAAAAAATTGAGATTATGGCTTGAAAATTGAGATCATGGCCTTGAAATTGAGATCGTGGCCTTAAAATTCAGATCATGGCCTTCCACATTTCCCCTGTGGCTGACAGTTGGGAACTGCTGTTCCCAAATTTTCCCCTCAACACAAAAAATTGAGATCATGGCCTTGCACATGAAGGGACCTTAAACCCCATCCAGGGCCACCTCCCACTGTCCCTGCCCAAGGTGGAATCACAAAATCACAGAATTTGGAACAATTTGGGTGGGAAAGGACCATAAACCCCATCCAGGTCCATGGTGGGATCACAAAAATCACAGAATTCTGGAACATTTTGGGTGGGAAAGGACCTTAAACCCCATCCAAGGTCACCTCCCCCTGTCCCAGGACACTCCCTGCCCAAGGTGGGATCACAAAAACACAGAATTTGGAACAATTTGGGTGGGAAAGGACCTTAAACCCCATCCAGGTCCATGGTGGGATCACAAAATCACAGAATTTGGAACAATTTGGGCGGGAAAGGACCTTAAACCCCATCCATGCCCACCTCCCCCTGTCCCAAGCTGCTGCTGGGACCCTCCCAGCAATCCATCCTCTCTGGGAATCCCATCCCAGCCCCTCCCAGGCAGGAATCCCACCCCAATTTCCATTTTCTGCTGCAGATCTGCTGTCCCTCAGTGCCAGGATTGTTGTGATTTGTGTTTTGCAGCCGTTTGAAGCTGGAGAGTGCCTCCACCTCCAGCCTGGAGGATCGAGTCAAACGCAACATCCACTCCTTGCAGAGGACTCCTGCTGCCCTGGAAAAGAATTTTATGCAGAGGTGAAGCCTGTGCTGGCTCTGAGCTGGCTGGATTTTGGTTCCCAGAGGTGAGAGAGCTCTGCAGGAACAATTCCAGCTCCCCAGAGAGGATCCCAGAGCGTTGAGGGGCTCTGAGTTTGGACATTTTGTGTTTCATTCTCAGCAGAGCTTCTGGAGTCACTTTTGTACATTATTACCAAAATTCCTGCCGTGCCAGGGTTGAAGATTTATTTTTGTTAATCCTCAAAATCCAGAACAGCAGAACCATCAAATGGAATTTGAGAAAACCACTCAAACCCTGTTCCACACTTCGCACCCACACCTGGCAGCAGCTCCTTGGTGCCTCTCACATTTATTTCATTAATATTTGACCCCCAAAAAAGCTGTTTATGAGGGGTGTGGGGAGCAAAAAGCCAACGAGCAGAGCTCAGCTGGCACGGCAAGCGTTTCTCTGGGATTTTCTAATGTAAGTAATGTGTATATGTACAGCAGCGTAGATTTATTTGACATTTTTAATTAACGAGCTTGGCTGTCGTTTGTTAAACGTCCTTTGTGGCAGGGCAGGGGTGGGTTGGCTGTGGGTGGGAGGGCTCGGTGAGGGTTCGGGGGGCAGCAGCCGCTTCCCGGCTGTGTCCAGCCCCGGGACCGGGGTTGGGGGGTCCCGGTTGTCGCTCCGAGGGTCCCCGCGGGGTCCCCGCGGGGCACGGTCCCTTTAAGGGACGGCGCGTAACGCGCGGAACAGCCCATTCATAAATCCAGCCGCCTCGCTGCTGATTGGTCCGTTCCACAGCGGGGCGTGGCTCTGGAACAGCGATTGGGCGAGACCATCTCCGGCAGGAGGGGGGAGGGAACGGGGTTTTTTTTTTTTCCCCCCCCCCCGGTCTCTCTGTATCCGTTCCTTATCCCTCTCCGTTGTTCCCTCTCACATCCCAGCGGTACCGCGGCTCTGCCGCAGCCCGAGCCGCGTCTCTTCCGCCGGTATCACCCACCGCTCCCCCCCCGCTCGGGCGGGACATGGCACCTCCCGCTCCGCACCCCCTCACCGCGCCGCCATCTTGGCGCCTCCTCAGCGCGGGCTGGCGGCGGAGCGAACCACCACGGCGGGGGGGAGGAGAGACAAGGACCGAACCACCGCGGAGGGGGGGGGGGGGGGGGAGGAGAGACAAGGACCGAACCACCGCGGAGGGGGGGGGGGGGTGGCGAGCCTAAAGCTGAACAGCTGAACGGGCCGGGCCGTACCACTGCAGGGAGCGGGGGGGAGAGCCGGGCGGAACCATGCGCGGGTAGGGGGGCGCGGGGAGGGGGGCGGTCGGGTCCGCCATGGCCGCGAACTGCGCGGGGGCCGCGGGGACGGCGGCGGCGGCCGTGGGCTCGGCCGTGGGCTCGGCCCTGAGCGCCAGCAAGACCAAGACCAAGAAGAAACATTTCGTGTGTCAGAAGGTGAAGCTGTTCCGGGCCTCCGAGCCGCTGCTCAGCGTCCTGATGTGGGGGGCGAACCACACGGTGAGAGCGGGCGGCGCGGCGGCCCCCCCCACCCCACCCCACCTCAGAGCCCTCAGAGCTGGGGGAGAGCCCCTCACAACGCCCCGGCAGCGGGGCCTCGGCCCCTTCGTCCCCTCATCCCCTTTCATCCTCCTCATCCCCCTCAGCAATGCCCTCATCCCCCTTATCCCCTTCATTCCACTCATGCCCCTCAACCCTTCGTCCCCTTCACCCCCCTCATCCCCCTCAGCAATGCCCTCATTCCCCTCATCCCCTTCATTCCCCTCATTCCCCTCCTCCCCCTCGTCCCTCTCTTCCCCCTCAGCAATGCCCTCATTCCCCTTATCCCCCTCATTCTTCTCATCCCCCTTCAGTCCCCTCATCCCCTTCATCCCCCTCATTCCCCTCATTCCCCTCGTCCATCTCTTCCCCCTCAGCAATGCCCTCATTCTCTTCATTCCCCTCATCATTCCCCTCATTTCTCTTATCCCGTCCATCCCCCTCGTCCCCTATCCCCCCTCATTCCCTTATCCCCTTCATTCACCTCATCCACCCTTATCCCCCTGGTTCCCCTCATCCCCATCAACCACTTCATTCCCCTCATATCCCCCCTCATATCCCCCCTCATATCTCCCCTCATATCCCCCCTCATATCCCCCCTCATATCCCCCCTCAGCAATGCCCGACCCCCCTCACATCCGACCCTTCCCTGCTCTCCCTCAGGCCAGGCCTTTTCCCTCTCATCCAGAGCAGCTTTTTCCCCTCATCCCCGCTGAATCCCAGCCTTCCCTCCCTCCCTCCCCATCCCACCCCTGTCCCAGCCCCTCCCTGCCCTCTCTGCTCCCTTTTCTGCTGGCTTTGGGGACCCCCAGCTCGGGGTGTCCCTTATTCCCAGTGTCCCCACCCCTGGCACCTTTTCCACACTTCTTTTCCCAGGACCGGGCAGGGGCACTGATGCATTTTTGGGTGATGTTGCCGTGGCGCTGGTGGAGACACAAATTTGGCACCCACAGCCCCTGTGCCAACCCCCAGACTGTCCCTATGGCTGTGCCAGGGAGGGATTGTCACAGTGTCACAACCCAGAGGGGACAGTGCCTCACCTGCACAATGTGTGTCCATCTCCATCCCCCAAAAATGAGGGGTTTGTCCCAAAAGGGCTTTGAGTGTCCCCTTGGCCTCAGCTCCTCCATGACCAGGTTGTGAGAGGGTCACTGGAGGGTGTCTGTGCTGGGAATTCCTTCATTCCATCCCTGTGTTGTCTCTGGAATCTTCTCCCTGGTTTATGATGGAGGATTGATCCTTGGATGTGGCTGCTGGCTGCTGTTCTTGGTGGCCAAAGAAGCCAAAATCCTCAATTAATCCACTTTTAGGGCTCAGACACACCTATTTCTCCGGTGGATTAGTGGATGTTTCCTAGAGAGTGAAAGCAATTCAGGCTCCTTTTTTTTTTTTTTTTTTTTTTTTCCCCAAAACAAATAACACATCAGGATTTTTAAAAAAGAAAAACCCTCCTTGCATTCCTGGCCTGCAAAAATTTCCAAATGTGGTTCAGCATCATGCTGGCTTTGAGGCAAAGGATGTTCCAAGTGCTCCCAGCCTTGCCCAGGAAGCAAGATAATGAATTTAATCAGCCTTTGATCAGTGCTGCCATTAGCAGCCCTGAAAAAAAACTGGAAATTTAGGGATTTTTCCGACTAGTGACAGTTTGCTGGTAATTGACCTTTTCTGGGGGATTGGTTTGTTTTTTTGGTATGTTTTTCTTTGTTGTAGCTGTCTGGGCAGTAGGAACCTGGCAGGAATTTGAGGATGAGGACAGAGTAAATTTGGGAGCTCTTGGCTGTGAGAATTTTGGGCAGAGCTGAGCTGACATTAAGCTGATAATGAGATTATATCGATGTGTATTAGGAAGAAATTGCTGCCAGGAAGGAGCTGAGGGGCTGGGAAGAGGGGTGAGAAAATTCAGCTGTGACCTCCTGACCTTTGGAAAGGATTTCCCAGGAAATCCCTTCCAGCTTTCTGCCACATTGGGGTGAGGCTTGCTTAGGTGGGAATTGGGATTATGTGCCTCCAGCTGAGGGGTTTGGGAATTATTTTGGGAATATGTTTAAGCTTTGTTGGAAATGCTTTAATTTGTTTGTTTGGGTCTGGGGTAAACTTCTTCAGAGAAATCAAACAATAATCTTGTCAGAATTGTTTGGATTTGGGGTGAGCTCTTCACTGAGAAATCAAAAAACCAATCATTTTGTCAGAATTGTTTGGGTCTGGGATGAACTTCACTGAGGAATCAAACAATGATCTTGTTAGGATTGTTTGGATTTGGGGTGAGCTCTTCACAGAGAAATCAAAAAAAAAACCCAATAAATTTGTCAGGATTGTTTGGATTTGGGGTGAACTTCTTCAGAGAAATCAAACAACCATTTTGTCAGAATTGTTTGGATCTGGGGTGAACTTCTTCACAGAGAAATCAAAAAAAAACCCCAGTAATTTTGTCAGAATTGTTTGGGTCTGGGGTGAACTTTTCGCAGAGAAATCACCCAGACAACCATTTTTGCTGCACAAATCCCCGTGGGTCCCTTGTCCCGGTCTGGAACGGCCCTAAAGAGGCTCCCAAAGAGCAGCACAGGCCGGGCTGGCTCTGGGGAGCATCAGGAGCACCCCAGGAGCAGGAGCTGCCTCGTGGATCTCCAATTTGGAGAGTTCCAAAAACGTCTCCTGGTGGTCCCAGCCAGGGTTGGGGTGGGGCTGGTGTGAGCAGGGGTGGTGTGACTCAAATAATTTGAATTTTGGACCAGAAAAGCACGGAGGGGAGGGGTGTGGAAGTGGAGTTTCGTGGCTCAGGCTGGATTTTGGAGTTTTCTGTCACAGCCTGGATGCAGCAGAGGTGGGGAAGGTTCCTGGGGAAGCTTCTCGTGGCACTGGGAGAGGAGGTGCAGCTCCTCCTGGGGTTTGGGGGTGTGTCAGGTGCTCCAGGTGTGTTTTCCATGCTCTGGCTGGATCCACGTGCACGGGATGGGGAAGTTGGGAAGGTTCTGGAGGGGAGCAGCAGCCTCCCAGGCACGGAGAGGAACACAGAGCGTTGTGTGATGCTCTGGGAGCCATGGAAACCGTGGGTGTGAGGGACTGCTGGGAGGCTCTGGGGTGGGGAGGGGGTTTGGGGTCTGTGTCTGTGGGGATGGGAGGAGATTTGGGATCTGTGTCTGTGGGGATGGGAGGGGATTTGGGATCTGTGTCTGTGTGATGGGAGGGGATTTGGGATCTGTGTTTGTGGGAATGGGAGGGGATTTGGGATCTGTGTCTCTGGGGTGGGGAGGGGGTTTGGGGTCTGTGTCTGTGGGGATGGGAGGGGATTTGGGATCTGTGTCTGTGGGGATGGGAGGGGATTTGGGATCTGTGTCTGTGTGATGGGAGGGGATTTGGGATCTGTGTTTGTGGGAATGGGAGGGGATTTGGGATCTGTGTCTGTGGGGATGGGAGGGGATTTGGGATCTGTGTCTGTGGGGATGGGAGGGGATTTGGGATCTGTGTCTGTGGGGATGGGAGGGGATTTGGGATCTGTGTCTGTGGGGATGGGAGGGGATTTGGGATCTGTGTGTGTAGAGTTGGAAGGCTCTCAGATCCCAGGGAGATGATTGTAGATCTGTGTCTGTAGGGACGGGAGGCTCAGGGATTGTGGATCTGTGTCTGTAGGGATGGAAGGCTCTGGGATCCCATCTGGGATTCCAGGGAGGTGATTTGGGATCTGTGTCTGTAGGGATGGAAGGCTCTGGGATCCCATCTGGGATTCCAGGGAGGGGATTGTGGATCTGTGTCTGTAGGGATGGGAGGCTCAGGGATTGTGGATCTGTGTCTGTAGGGATGGAAGGCTCTGGGATCCCATCTGGGATTCCAGGGAGGTGATTGTGGATCTGTGTCTGTAGGGCTGTGATGCTGCTGCCGGTTCCTCAGCTGGAAATGATCCCAGTGGCTCTGGCTGCTGGCAGGGGAAAGGCACAAACCTCCCGTTCTGGTGGCAAAGGGGAGATCTGCTGGCTGCAGGGACCTTGCCCGAGGCAGCTCCAGGGGCTGCAGTTCCTGGCTGGAGCTGCAGCCATCTCCCAGGCCCTCAGGAGCAGTGCCAGCAGCTCGTTTGTATTCCAGGGAAACAGCAGAGCTGGGAATGGAGCTCCCAGTTCTGCAGCCTTGCCTTCCGTGCTGCCAGAGCAGCATCTGCCACAAATCAAACCCTCAGATCCCAGAAATTGCTCCTGGCACGGTGGGGACAGCCTGGATCTGTCCCTTCCCAGCTCTAATTGACCTCTGGGGAGAGCAGCAGATGGGCAGGGCCGTGCTGCCAAGGGCTCATGCAGAGCTCCTTTTCAAAATCCCCATTCCAGGAGCTTTTGCCCATTCAAATCCCCATTCCAGGAGCCCTTTCCCATTGAAATCCCCATTCCAGGTTCCTTTTCCCCCTCAAATCCCCATTCCAGGAACTCCTCTTCAAATCCCCATTCCAGGATCCATTTTTCCATTCAAATCCCCACTCCAGGAACTTTTTCCCATTCAAATCCCCATTCCAGGAACATTTTTCCCATTCAAATCCCCATTCCAGGAGCCTTTTCCCATTTTTGGGCCAAAGGAGGGTTTTCCTGGGTGCCTCAGTGAGGAGAACAAAGCTGATTTCCCTGCTCATTTCTGCTGACTGACATCACCCTTGGTTGGATTCTGAAAATTCCCATTCCTCAGCTTTTTTTGGAGCATCAGCTCTGCCCACCAGTGAGAGGACTGGGAGAACTGGGAGCATGGACAGGAGGGTGGCACTGCCTGATCCCAGGAATCCTTTCCAGCAGTTTTCCAAGGACTTTTTTTTTCAGGAATAGATGGATCTGCTCTCACCAGGGGATGCTTTTTTTTTTCCCAGAGGAATTATTGACTGCAAGATTCACTCTTCCCTCGCCTTGCACGGTGGGGTTGTTAGCCTGGATACTAATTAATCATGCTCTAATTGACGGAAAACTGGGTTTTTCCCTCAAACCATCACCCAGTTGCTGCTCTGTGCTAATCTTTGCCACAGCTGTGGGTTTTTCTCCATGCTAAAGTGATTTTCCCTTGTGTCTTTTACCTCCTTCCCCAGAGCACAATGAAGTTTAACTAATACTCACCGAGATGCCTGATTGGAAAGCTTGGAGGGGAACAAAATATCTTTATTTTCCTGAGCAAATTCCTGAGAGTGGGGCTCACACACTCCATCAGCTGCATCTTGTTAGTAAACAAATCTCATTTTCCCATCAATTTACTAATGCTAATTGCCACTTTTGAGGCTACAGTCAGGTTTTGAAACAAAATTATGACTGTTCATCCCAACAGCTGTCCCTGAATGACACGGAATATTGATGTGGCTTTTATTGGGGAAGGAACTGGCTTTGGTGGAGAAGAGAAATCATCAGCCCAGAGTCCTGAGTGCTGCTGCTGGAGAATTCCAGTGACCAGGAAGTAAAAGCTTGGAAAAGAGAGAGGGAGGAGGTGTTTTTGCAGCTTCAAAACTGGATTGAGCTGAGGATGAAGGCTCTGGGCAGTGGAAGAGGTTTTCCCTGCCTCACTTCATGTTTTTGATCCCTGATTCTTGTTGGCATCCAGCTGCTTTTTCCCTCTGCTCCTGTGGGATCGGGCAGCTTTGATCTGGACATCAGGAATGGTTCCTCTGTTCTTAGGGTGTGACAAAACCAGGGAAAATTGGGATTGTGCCTCGGTGTGAAATGCTGAGAGCCCCCGAGGAGTGTCCTAGCCCTTCCCCCTCTGCCACATTCCTTATCTCTGCCAAACTGCAGCTGGCACAGACCAAAAGCATTTTTTGGTGATGAAAAGCACTTTTTGGTGGTGCCCTCGGCCTGGGCTGGGCCATCTCGGGGGTCTGTGCCACTCTGGGCAGGAGAGGAGTGGGCAAAACAACCCAAATCCTTCTCCAGAGCCAGAGTCCCAAATCCAACCCTTTATCCACAACCCAAATCCTTCTCCAGAGCCAGAATCCCAAATCCAGCCCTTCATCCACAACCCAAATCCTTCTCCAGAGCCAGAGTCCCAAATCCAGCCCTTTATCCACAACCCAAATCCTTCTCCAGAGCCAGAATCCCAAATCCAGCCCTTCATCCACAACCCAAATCCTTCTCCAGAGCCAGAATCCCAAATCCAGCCCTTCATCCACAACCCAAATCCTTCTCCAGAGCCAGAATCCCAAATCCAGCCCTTCATCCACAACCCAAATCCTTCTCCAGAGCCAGAATCCCAAATCCAGCCCTTCATCCACATCCTGGTGCCCAGCACAACCCAAATCCTTCTCAGTTTCTCTCCAAAGCCCGATCCCAAATCATCCAGCCAGCTCTGCTGGAAGGGTGGAAAAGCTTCCACATGAGGATTTCTTGGGCTGTTTCATCTTGTGAGGAGCAGTGGCACCTCTGAAACAACCTGGAGCTCTCCTGGTGCAGCATTTCTGCCACTCAGGCGCCTCTCAACAGGTCCCACACTCTTCTTTGAGCTTTGTGGCAGAAGCCAGAAACGAGGGCGCCCAACGAGGCCTCAGAATTTTTTGTGTCTGAATTGGTGCCAGTGAGGAGGAAGCCTCGGCATCGCTGTTCCCTCTCAGCCGTCAGCACCTTTCCTCCGAGCTGCTAACGCCTTGTTTGTGCCTTCCCCGCGCCGGGAAGAGGGCTGGGAGCAGGCTGGGATGGGAGCAGGCGTGTGGCAGGAGCTGTCAGCCTTCCCTTCCTGGTAGACAGCAAGAATTGGTGGCTGGAGGCAGCGCCTCTGTCTGGGTGCAGAACTGAGTTGTTTTCTCCTCACCCCCCGAGGGGAAATCTCTGCAAATCTCTGCGTGGGACTCTGATGCAGCTCCTTGCTGCCAGCTGGGAGATCCCTTCTGTCGGAACTCAAAATGTCCCTCAGACATTTTTGGACGTTCCAGGCCCAGGTCAGAAGCATTTGAAACCCTGGCAGGCAGCTGGAAACAGCTGTGATTTTGGGTTTGAGCCATGGAATGATTTACCAACCTTGCAGGAAGAACAAGAAGTCACAAAAGTTTAGATATTATAGCAGAAGTAGTCACAAAGCAAAGGGAAGAATTTTTGAGTGCTGTACAGGGGGGTTTTGGTTTTGTACATGGGGGTCAGAGGGTTTAAGATGGAGGGATTTGGGCCTGTCGTGTCCTCCCTCTTTCTTCTTCCTCACCTCCATGTTCTTGGTGATGTTGGCACTCACAGATTGGTTTAGAGGAGAAAAGCACCATTTAATATAGGGAATGGGCATTGGGGAAAAACTATAAACATTTAACACGTGATGTACATATAAAAGACAGCAGCAGCCCTCAGTGAGGGGAGAAAAGAAAAAGAAAAGAGCCAAAAAATTTGTCAAAGGTGTGTGTGTGCCTCTGCCTGAGCTGCTGAGCAAACTGCAGCAGCTCAAGAAGAAAACCTTTTAGATAACTTGCAATAAACTGCCTTGAGACCGGACAACAGAAGAATTCTGAGCTTTTGTTTTGAAAGCACGGGTTGGAGGAGAGATTTTTCCACCACACGGAGCCACCCTGACCTAGGGTGAGCTCCGGCACCCTTCCTCACCTGGAGTCTGTTTGTTTTCTCTCCCTCTTAGGATTTTTTATAGAGGTGCACAGAGAGAAATGAAAGAGAAAACAATTTCTATTTTTGCTCCTTGTTTTTCCCATGTGGAATGTGTTTGGAGAATTGTTCACCTGGGGTGATTGCTTCGTTGGATTCTGGGGAGGATTGTTTGAGCCTGGTGGCCAATCCAACCCCACTGGGGCTGGACTCTCAGAGAGGGTCACGAGTTGTGTTAGAGTTAAAGATAGAGTCAGAGAAAGTAAAATGTAGTTTTAGTATCTTCCTTTTATATAGTATATTAATGTATTTTAGCATAGTTATAATAAAGAAATCATTCAGCCTTCTAAATTGAGTCAAACATCACAATTTCTTCCCATTGGGTTCGCCTGCATTTACAGTAAGCCACAATTTATTTATTCATTCATCTCTGCAGTGTTTTCCATACATCCCACAGGGTTTGTGATGCCTTGGGCTGGATCCCAGAGCAGAGGCTAGACAGAGTATTAAAAAGTATTATTATAAAGGTATTTATTAAAGGCTTTAACAGATACACCTTGGGCAGCACAGAGGCTGCACTTGAGGTGGATGGCAGTCATGAATTTTTTGGGATATCAGGGGTTAATCCAATTACAGCTTCAGGTAATGAAGTCACATCATGCTCTCCCCCTCTCCCATTAATTTTTATTTATATTTTTGGGGTGACTTTGGTTCTCAGGCCTGGAAGGATTGTTGTGTCTGACCAAACTGTGATGATGAGAACTCACAAACTCTCTGTGGAGCTCAGAGCTGTGCCCTCATCCAATGCAGGATGTGGAAAATAGAAGAGCTAAAACTTCAGGGTGCTGCAGGGCAGAGCCAGAGCTGTACCCTCATCCATACAGGATGTGAAACATAGAAGAATTAAAACTTGAGGGTGCTGCAGGGCAGAGCTTTGCAGAGCTCCAGATCCGCGGCCGCTTCGCTTCCCGCTGATGTCTGTTGTGTGGGATGGCTGGCTCTGAAAATAGCCCCCTTCCCTCCTGGCACTGGGCTGTGTCTTTCTTCCCAGTCTGACGTGTGTTAAATCTGGATTTCCCTGGTAACGATGGAGAAAGGGTGGGATAAACACAAGCTGCACGGAATTGGCTCACGGCGAGGTGCTGAACCCTGCAGAAGCGCTCTGTGTGTGTCCTGCTGCAACAGGGAACGGGGAATCCCAGAGCTGCATCCCTTTCCTGAGCCTGCAGGGAAGTTTTCCAGCAGCTTTCCCACTGTGCTGGAGTCACTTGTCCTGCTGGAGGTTTTGGTGTTGGGAGCAGCCCCCAGAGCTGCCTCCCTCTCCTGCACCACCTGCCTGGCACAGCAGGGTCATGGGTGTCGAAGACCACCCTAGTTCAGGGTGGCTCCGTGTGGTGGAAAACTCTCTCCTCCAACCCGAGCTTCCAGAGAAAGACTCAGTGGTCTCTTGTTGTTCGTTCTCATGGTTATTTATTGCAAGTTATCTAAAAGATTTTCTTCTTGAGCTGCTGCAGTTTGCTCAGCAGCTCAGGCAGAGGCACACACACACCCTGACATCCTCTCTGACTCCTGACTGCTTCTTCTCTCCTGCCCAGGGCTGTGCTGTCTTTTATATGGTACAAATCCCTCCATCTTAAAACCTCTGACCCCCATGTACAAAACTAAACCCCCCCTGTACAGCACTCAAAAATTCTTCTATTTACTTTGTGACTACTTCTACTCTAATATCTAAATTTTGTGACTTCTTGTTCTTCCTGCAAGGTTGGTAAATCGTTCCATGGCTCAAACCCAAAATCACAGCTGTTTCCAGCTGCCTGCCAGGGTCTCAAATGCTTCTGACCTGGGCCTGGAACCTCCAAAAATGTCTGAGGGACATTTTGAGTTCCAGCAATGGGAACAGCAGGGTCTGTTCCCTGTCATGTGAACAGGGCTGGAATGGGATTGCTTCCTAAATCCAGGCTGTTAACAGGAATTCAGTGAGCTGGGGCTGTGGGGAGTCCCTGGGAGGGGATGGCTTTTGTGGCTGTGCTCACGAAATTTACCTCTTGATTCTGGCCCAGCCTCGTCAGCGAGTGCAGTGACTGGAGCAGGGCAGCCAGACACAGTCCAGAGGTGGATATTTATATTATTATTATTATTGTTATTGTTATTATTATTATTAATGCTGGCACTGCTGGGTGCTGTAGCACGAGCCCGCCTGTACAATCAGTAGCTGAACATTCATTTTTCTGCTTCCCCGTGTTCCTGTGGCTGCCACACATGACTAAAGGAGCAAAAACAATCTCGTGAGTGACTCATCCCCCCAGAGAAGGTGGGATGGTGTTGCAACTCAAAATGTCCCTCAAACATTTTTAGAAGTTCCAAGCTCTACTCAAAAACATTTTAAACCCTAACAAACAACTAAAAACAACTACAATTTTAAGTTTAAACCATAAAGTAAGTTACCAACTTTAAAAATAAAACAAACAATCACAAATATTTAAATATTAGAATAAAAATAGTTACAAAATAAAAAATAAATTTAATATTATACAAGGGGGTTTTAGCACCTATACAAAAAAGTTTTTACTTTATACATAAAAATCAAAAGTTTTAAAATAAAAAAATATAAGTGTCGTGGTTTGACACGGAAAAAAAATTTTTCCGGAAGGAAAAGGTCAATTTAGACATAGGGTTAGGGTTAGGGTTATTCTAAAAAAAAAATCTCAAAATTCTACTTTTTCTATCTCCTGTCAATTTCTTTATTGCATCGTTCAAACCCTTTTTGTTTGTAATTTTTTAGAGAAGGTCGGCAGGCTCTCCCAGGGGCTAAAATGGAATCTACAGGTGGTTTTTATTTGCTGCTAAGGTTTGTGGGCTCTTTGCCAGGGGGCAGCCAGAGGGATGCTCTGGGCTCTGACAGTTCTTGGCTTGTCTGGGTGGACATTTGTGGGTTTGGGCTCTCAGCTGTGGCTTGGATGGTCGCTGTGTTAACGCTCAGGAACACAAATAATCACAGGATATCATTCCATGCAGGTGCTTTTATTGATGAAGAGCTCTGGGAATCAGGGGGACAGACCCAAATCTGACTCTGAATGTATTTTATATCCTATCCTTATATAACTTACATATTCATTATTAAACTTACATTGTTCTATTGTATACATTGACATGAGTTCCTTGTGATTTTTCTTAGGTCCCTGACCACAGTTTCTCATGATTATTCTTATGATTAAACAGTAATTATATTTAATTACTAAACAATCATCACATCTAACAATTATATCATTTATCATGTACTAGCTACACAGGTGCAGTTCTAGCAAGTACAAGTTCTTCATGTGCTTAGGCTATTTGTTTTTCCAGGGCATACTAAGCTTATTTTTCCTGTTAACCCTAAATCCCCATGATTTTAAGACCCTTTTTCTATCAGCTGGAAGGGGGGAGGTTGTCTCAGGAGGATTCACCACACGGTGGAACGAGGTGTGGGTGCTGCAGCCTGGCACCACAGTGTCCCCAGACCCTTCCGTCTGATGGGTCACAGTGCCCCAAAGCACCCCCTGGGGTTTTGGGCATCCCAAAATCCCAGGGGATTTGGGAGCTGGGATTTGAGTCTCCTTTTCCTCTCTCTTGCAGATCAATGAGCTCAGCAATGTTCCCGTCCCCGTCATGTTAATGCCCGACGACTTTAAAGCCTACAGCAAGATTAAGGTGGACAATCATCTCTTCAACAAGTAAGTAGGAGCTTCCCAGGCTCTCTGTGCTGTGAGTGGCCTGGAGGAGGCCACTGCCAGGAGGATCCGTGCCCTGTGCCCTGCCCAGCCCCTGCTGTGTGTGGGATTCCTCAAAATCAGAGGGTTTTGTTGCAAAAGGCAGATAGGTGTGGTCATTCCGTTTGCATCCTTTGGGGGATTAAACTGCTCACAGGAGGCAGCTCCGCAGCTGTGGAGTCTCTCTGGAGTTATCCCTGTCTCCTTTTCCCCAAAAAAAATCCATTTTTGGGAGCTTTTTTGAAGTCCTGGTTGTGGCTGGGGCTCAGAGCTGCAGGGCAGCCCCACAACCTCCACGCTCCCATCCCGGGATCCTGCGGGGTTCCCTGGCACAGATGGGGTTTGTGGTCATCCACAGGAAGGATCAGCAGGGCTGGGATGTCCTGAGGGGCTGGCAGGGACAGGGGGCTCAGCGTCGCATGGGGTGGCACCGGTGACATCTCTGCCCTGCCCTAGGGAGAACCTGCCCAGCCGCTTCAAGTTCAAGGAGTATTGTCCCCTGGTGTTCCGGAACCTGCGGGAGAGATTCGGGATCGACGACCAGGACTACCAGGTACTCCCTTCTCTCCTGTGGGACGGTGTCGGAATCTGAGCTATTGATGATTCCCAGATTGTAGAAAGTCTGTGTCTGTCAGCCCCGCTGCCAAAGCAGAAGCCATAATTGGTCTGTGCTGTTTCAAGGTTGTTTATTCTGTTTATCTCTAACATGTTCTGCTGCCCTGCCGCAGCTCTGTCCTGCAGGGCAGCGTGTGGGGCTCTGCCCTCAGTGGGATGGTACAAACATTAAATACCACAAACTCCCTGTGCTGGATTTACAATAACGTGCCAATATCTGTCACCTACGTTGGACAGTGTGTTCCCAGCCTAAACCAACAGAAAAATGCCAACACCACAGTGAAACATGGAGGGCATGAAGAAGGAGAAAAAGGACAAGGCACACCCAATTTCCTCCATCTTGTCCCCTTTGAACCCCTAATCTAGAATCCTAAAATTTTACTTTTGCACCTGTGCCACACTTAATTATTACTGATATCAAACACTCAGAGCTGGTAATTCATCCTGTGAGATTGAAAACTCTTTTCCATGGACAGAGATCACAGCCAGTGTCTCTGGGGGCTCTGTCCAGGGGGGTTCCTGAGCCCTGCCAGGATCCCAGAGCAGCCAGAGGGAAGCCCTGGGTTCCCACAGGACAGAGCAGCCACGCTGCAGACATTGCTGCCAGCAGCTTCTTTGGGTTTGGAGCTGGGCTTTGAGTGCTTCCCCCACAACCACAGCAGTGGATCTTGCTGTGCCAAGCACAGGCCAGGAGAGGGGAAGGTGATCCCTGCTCCCAAGGCATGAAACAGGCACGGGTGGCTGTGGGCAGGCAGGAGCTGGAGGGTAGCAAGGATCCAGCGTGGAATATCTGCAAGGAAAACGAGTCTGTGGTGTTTGTCCAGGTTCAGGTGAAGCTGCTGCTTTCAGCCAAGTGTGTGTTGTTGAATTGGGTGTATCAAGGTGGCTCCTGCTTTGGGATCCACCCCCTAATGCCAGAGGGGCTGATTTTCTTGGAGAGGAGTCTGCTGTTAATACTGCTCAGCTCTGGGGACAGGGAGATGTCACAGCTCTGGCTGCTGCAGCAGGGCCACCCTTCCTCAGCCAGATCTGAGCCCTGGGCACGAGGAGCTGGGCAGGGGCAGCTCAGGGCTGGGAGATGGCACAGAGCAGGGCTGTGAGGTTGGCACTGCGCTGTGTGGTCACAATTTCTGCTTCCCAGCTCCAGGAGAAAAGCTCTGTGGTTTTGAGGTGAGGGCTTGATTAAACTGCCTGGCACAGACCCCTCTGAAATGTCAGCGAGCAGCAAAGGGGATTTTTCTGTTTGCCTTTATTTTCCTGACGATCTCTAAAGCCGTTGGCAACAGCAGAGTTTTCTCCCTGCTTCATTAACGTTTTAAAAGCTTTAAATGCTTCATTCTGAAAGGAAACCTCTGGGCTCACTTGCAGCACGACGTGGTAAATCTCTCTCTCAGAGCTGGCTCTGCTGCCAGAGCTGAGCGAGGGGGACACAGCAGTAAAAAAAAAAAAAAAAAATCACAAATAATGCAGCCTGAAACAAAAATCTGGGCTGGTAAATCCAGCCCAGAAATGCTGGAAAACTCAAGGATTGCTGTTGGTGCTGCTGTTTTTCAGAGCCCTCCCCGTGTGTGATAAGGAAATTCTGGTGTTTGGTTGATAAAATGAGTGGTGGGCAGGTGGAGGGGACAGCCAGGGGACAGGGGACAGCTCGAGGTGTGAGCAGCAGTGGCTGGGGCTGAGGGAGGAGCTGGCAGCAGAACAAAGAGCTGCTGTCGTGCCTCAGGGAATTGATCCCTGCTCTGCAGTTTTCCTGGGATTTTCCAGCCCCTGCTGCACTGTCTGATTGCTAAGGGTGGAGACAGGGATCTAAAGGCAGATGCTGCTGGTTGTCAGAAGAACAACCAAGCCATTTATACTCATCTTGTAAATCCAGGAGTAATAGCAGAGCCTGAGGGTGGCTTTTGGTGGAGTATGACCTGTGGAGAATCCCCAAACACTGAGATTTTAGCCAGACTAAGCTGCTTTTTTGATGGAAAAGCCAACAGGCCATTTCAAGTCGTTTTGCTCTGGTTTTCCTTAAGCCTTAGAAATGTCCTGGCTGTTCTTAAATCCCTGAGAGGAAACACTGAGAGTTCTTGTCCTGTGTGTCCTACACCTCTGAAAAACCTTCAGTAAAAATCACCTTCCAAAAACACACCCCAGGTGTTGGAGTAAAACCTGCCAGCAAACCACAGGCCCAGCTCAAAGCCCTAAAAAGACATCCAGACTGTTAAATAATTGGGTTTTACCCTCAGCAGCACTAAACTTGGAGTTCATAGCCAGAGTGGGAGCCCTGAGCTGGTCCTGTGGGGCTGGCCCTGCTTCTCAGGGGGTTCCTGTGGAGCTTTTCCTGCTTCCAGAACTTCTCAGGGGTTCCTGTGGGGCTGGTCCTGCCTCTAGGGCTGCTCAGGGGTTCCTGTGGGGCTGGCCCTGCTTCCCAGGGGGTTCCTGTGGGGCTGAGCCTGCTTCTAGGGCTGTTCAGGGGATTTCTGTGGGGCTGGCCTTGCTCCTCAGAGCTGCTCAGGGGGTTCAGAGCCAGACCTGAGCTGGTCCTGTGGGGCTGGCCCTGCTTCCAGAGCTGTTCAGGGGGTTCCTGTGGGGCTGGGTCTGCTTCACAGAACTCCTATGGGGGCTCTTGTGGGGCTTTTCCTGCTTCCAGAGCTGCTCAGGGGATTTCTGTGGGGCTTTTCCTGCTTCCAGAGCTGCTCAGGGGGATTTCTGTGGGGCTGGCCCTGCTTCCAGAGCTGCTCAGGGGGATTTCTGTGGGGCCAGCCCTGCTCCCAGAGCTGCTCAGGGCATTTCTATGGGGCTGGCCCTGCTTCCCAGGTGGTTTCTTTGTGTCTGGCCCTGCTCCCAGAGCTGCTCAGGGCATTTCTGTGGGGCTGGCCCTGCTCCCAGAGCTGCTCAGGGCATTTCTGTGGGGCCAGCCCTGCCGCTGGGCGAGGTGCCAGCCCCCGGCCCCGTCCCCACGCCGCGTGTCCCCCCAGAACTCGGTGACGCGCAGCGCGCCGGTGAACAGCGACAGCCAGGGCCGCTGCGGCGCGCGCTTCCTCACCACCTACGACAGGCGGTTCGTCATCAAGGCCGTGTCCAGCGAGGACGTGGCGGAGATGCACAACATCCTCAAGAAATACCACCAGGTACGGCGGGCCCGAGCGTCCCCCCCGCGTCTGCCGGGGCACTGGGGATGGGGTTGGCAGCTGGCAAAATGGGGGGAAAATGGTGCTTAGGGTATGAGGGATGGAAATGTGGGGACAGAATTCAGCATTGGGAGGAACCCTGGAGATCTCCCAGCCCCACGCACAGAATCCCAGGATTGGGCTGGAGGAACCCTGGAGATGTCCCAGCTCCACACACGCAGAATCCAGGACTGGGAGGAACCCTGGAGTTCTCCCAGCCCCACACACACAGGGTCACAGAATCCAGGACTGGGAGGAACCCTGGAGATGTCCCAGCTCCTCACACACAGGGTCACAGAATCCAGGACTGGGAGGAATCCTGGAGATGTCCCAGCTCCTCACACACAGGGTCACAGAATCCAGGACTGGGAGGAACCCTGGAGATGTCCCAGCCCCACACACACAGGGTCACAGAATCCCAGGATTGGGCTGGAGGAACCCTGGAGATGTCCCAGCTCCACACACAGAATCCCAGGATTGGGCTGGAGGAACCCTGGAGATGTCCCAGCTCCACACACAGGGTCAGAGAATCCAGGACTGGGAGGAACCCTGGAGATGTCCCAGCCCCAACCTCTGCCATGGAGGGCAGGATGGTGCTCCCTGGGCCAGCTGGCTGAGGGAATGGGATTGTCATCTCCTGCCTCCTTTCCTGGAGCTCCCAGGAGCTGTTCCAACCCTCCTTTCCTTCCCCACGGCTGCCCTGGCTGCAGCAGCTCCCGCAGTTTGTGTCCCTCAGTGTGGCACAGCCACGTGTGACACAGCCACGTGTGACACAGCCACGTGTGACACAGCCGTGTCCTCTCCCCAGTTCATCGTGGAGTGCCACGGGAACACGCTGCTGCCCCAGTTCCTGGGCATGTACCGGCTGACCGTGGACGGCGTGGAGACCTACATGGTGGTCACCAGGAACGTCTTCAGCCACAGGCTGACCGTGCACAGGAAATACGACCTGAAGGTGAGCCTGGAGCAGGGGCCAGGCCGAGCCAGAGAGTAAATTCGTTTATAGGATCTTCTGAATGGAGAGATTGGCCAGGCAGAGTCAGAGAATAAATGTATTTAAAGGATCTTCTCAATGAGAGATTGGCCAGGCAGAGTTAGAGAATAAATTTATTTAAAATATCTCAGTGGAGAGATTGGCCAGGCAGCTCCAGAACCAAGCAGGGATTCATTAAAAGATCTCCTCAGTGGATCCACCTTGGGCAGCGCCAGAACCCAGCCAGGGCTGCTCCCAAAATGAACCAAAATGGTCACAAAATGGACCCAAATGGTCACAAAATGGACCCAAAATGGTCACAAAATGAAACCAAAATGGTCACAAAATGAACCCAAAATAGACCCAAATGGTCACTAAATACTTGACCACTCACAGGGTCTCACTTTTTAAGTTTTCCTTCATTTGCATATTGGAGTTAATTGCCCAATTCCACTTTTAGCCCGTGCAGCCCCACCGTTCTTGTTCTTCTCTCTCCAGCCCGCGCTGTTTGTGCTCCTGGGGCAGAGATTTGGATCATTTCTCCTTGGTCCCAGCCGGAGCAGGAATTGTTTTGTCTCTGCTCTGTCAATGAGTTCATGGAGAGTGGGACCCATAGTGCACTAATGATAAATGATATTTTCTTTATTTCTTTTGCTTTCCTTGTTTTCCTGCACTGAGAAATTAAATGGATTAATTGGGAATGTGACCTCTTTGCAATAATGATATTTTTCTTTATTTGTTTTCTTTATCAGGGCTCAACAGTATCCAGGGAAGCAAGTGATAAAGAGAAGGTATGGAGCCATCCCTGGCCAGCCTTTCCTTTCTCCTGCTGCTTGGGGGCAGACAGATCCAACTCAGTTCCCTTTTCCATTTTCCCTTTTCCATTTCTCCTTTTCCATTCCCTTTTTCCATTCCCTTTTCCATTTTTCCTTTTCCATTCTTCCTTTTTTATTTTTTCTTTTCCATTCCCTTTTCCATTTCCCCTTTTCCATTTTTCCATTCCCTTTTCCCTTTTCTATTTTTCCTTTTCCATTTTTCCTTTTCCATTTCTCCATTTCTATTCCCGTTTCCATTTTCCCTTTTCCATTTTCCATCCTCAAGAACAGTGGCTTGACTTTTTTCCTCAAATCTTTAGGGAGAGATTTTTTTTTTGTTGTTTTTTCTCCCCAAGCCTTCACCCCTTTCCCCCCACAGCCCGAAAACAAGAAATATGAATTTCTTTAATTAAATTTTTTTCAATTCTGGGAGCAGCTTGGAGCATCCCTGGCCCAGCTTTGCAGTTTTTAAAGCTGTAGGTCCAGCTGAGCCCAGGGACTCCCCAACACTTCCCCTGGTGCCTTTTCCATCGTCAGTGGATTTTGGGCACCCCAAAAAGCCCAGACTGAGCAGGGGCTGGGGAGTTTCACCTGGGGAATTTCACCTGGGGAGTTTCACCTGGGGAATTTGACCTGGGTATCTTCACCTGGGCTTTTCCTGCAGGCCAAGGATCTGCCAACGTTCAAGGACAACGACTTCTTGAACGAGGGGCAGAAGCTGCACGTGGGGGAGGAGAGCAAGAAGAACTTCCTGGAGAAGCTGAAGCGGGATGTGGAGGTGACTCCGGGGACAATCCTGCTCTGCCTCTGCACTGGCTCTGGTGCACGCAGGGACGAGCAAGCTCAGTATCCTAGCTCATAAAATATATCATAGATAGCATATTTTACATTGTATTACATCACATGATATAACATTACATTCATATTATACCGTATCATATTGTATTTTACATTATATTATATTACATGATATTATATCATATATTTTACATTACATGGTACTGTGTTATATATTATATCACGTACTATCACATATTACATCATGTTATATCACATTATATTTCATTATATTACATTACATTACATTACAATCATATCTTACATTATATTACATTATATTTATATCATATCATATTTTACATTATACTATATTATATTTGTATCATATTATATTTTACATTATATTAAATTATATTCATAATATATAATATAATTACACTATAACATAACATAGCAAAACATAAACATAACATAACATAAACCTAACATAAAGATAACATAAACATAATATAATTAGAATATAATAGTATTACACTATAACATAAGTACATAACATAGTATAAGATAAACATAATATAATTAATGTCATTGAATAGAATTACGCTATAACATAATGTAATAAAATTAATGTAATATAATATTTAATATAACATAACAGTGGTGGGCTGTACTGTAGGACACTCCAGTAAAGCAGCAGCTCAGCCCCTGGGCCCTGAGGCTGTGCCAGTTCCATGGCCATGCCCTGCCAGTTCCCCTGGCTGTGCCCTGCTGCTTCCCCTGGCTGTGCCAGTTCCCCTGGCTGTGCCCTCTTGGTTCCCTGGCTGTGCCCTGAGGCCGTGCCAATTCCCCTGTTTGTGCCCTGCTGGTTCCCTGGCTGTGCCAGTTCCCCTGGCCATGCCAGCTCCTTGGCTGTGCCCTGAGGCCGTGCCAGCTCCTTGGCTGCATTTTCCCTGGCTGTGCCCATGTGCAGCTGCCATGTGCTGATTGCCACCCACCCCATGCAGTTCCTAGCCCAGCTGCGGATCATGGACTACAGCCTGCTGGTGGGCATCCACGACGTGGACCGGGCCGAGCAGGAGGAGATGGAGGTGGAGGAGCGGGCGGAGGAGGAGGAGTGTGAGAACGATGGCCCCGGGGGGAACCCCCTGTGCTCCTACGGGACCCCCCCCGACAGCCCCGGCAACCTGCTCAGCTTCCCGCGCTTCTTCGGGCCCGGAGAGTTCGACCCCGCCGTGGACGTGTACGCCATGAAGAGCCACGAGAGTGAGTGGGGCTGCCAGGGCGGCCCTGGGGAGGGCAGGGAGGGTGTGAGGGAGGTTTTGGGGAGCTGTGAGGGAGGTTTTGGGGAGCTGGGGAGGGCAGAGGAGCTATGGAAGAGTTCTGAAGGGCAGGGAGGGTGCAAGGGAGGTTTTGGGGAGCTGTGAGGGAGGTTTTGGGGAGCTGTGCAGGGCAGGGAGGGTGCGAGGGAGGTGCTGGGGAGCTGGGGAGGGCAGGGAGGGTGCGAGGGAGGTGCTGGGGAGCTGGGGAGGGCAGGGAGGGTGTGAGGGAGATTTTGGGGAACTGGGGAGAGCAGGGAGGGTGTGAGGGATGTTTTGGGGAGCTGTGGAGAAGGATGGAGGGCAAGGACGGTGTGAGGGAGATTTTAGGGAGCTGTGAGGGAGATTTTGGGGAGCTGGGGAGGGCAGGGAAGGTGTGAGGGAGATTTTGGGGAACTGGGGGGAGCTGGGGAGGGTGTGAGGGAGATTTTGGGGAGCTGTGGAGGAAAGATGGAGGGCAGAGGAACTGTGGAGGAGTCTGAAGGGCAGGGAGGGTGTGAGGGACATTTTGGGGAGCTGGGGAGGGCAGGGGAGGTGTGAGGGAGATTTTGGGGAGCTGGGGAGGGCAGACAGGGTGTGAGGGAGATTTTGGGGAGCTGGGGAGGGCAGACAGGGTGTGAGGGAGATTTTGGGGAGCTGGGGAGGAGTTCTGGAGGGCAGAGAAGGTGTGACAGAGATTTTGGGGAGCTGAGAAGGGCAGGGAAGGTGTGAGGGAACTGTGGAGGGCAGAGAGGGTGTGAGGGTGGGGGTGAAACTGGCTGTGCCCAGGGTTCTGAGCCCCCCCTGTACCCACAGGTGCCCCCAGGAAGGAGGTTTATTTCATGGCCATCATCGACATCCTCACGCCCTACGACACCAAGAAGAAAGCTGCACACGCTGCCAAGACAGTGAAACACGGGGTGAGGTTAACAAAATGAATGGAGCATTTATATTTTAACTTGTAGAATGATGTGTTGAATTTCAAGCTGTCACTTAAAAAACCTCTGCCTCAGGGAGGGAATTCTGCACCCCCAGAGAGGGAATTCTGCAGCCTCAGGGAGGGAATTCTGCAGCCCCAGGGTGGGAATTCTGCAGCCCCCAAGGAGGGAATTCTGCAGCCCCCAGGGAGGGAATTCTGCACTCCCAGGGTGGGAATTCTGCAGCCCCCAGGGAGGGAATTCTGCAGCTCCCAAGGTGGGAATTCTGCAGCCCCCAGGGATGGAATTCCCTGACCCCTCTTTGCCCACTCTGACCCTTCCTTGCCCACCGTGACCCTTCCCTGACCATCCTGACCACACTGACCCCTTCCTGCTCCTGTGCCCCCCATGCCTGTGCCCTGCTGACCCCCCTGTTCCCCCCTCTGCCCCTCTTGCCCCCCATGCCCCCCATGCCCTGCCCCGCTGACCCTTCCTTGCCCATCTTGACCCTTCCATGCCCACCCTGACCCTTCCCTGACCATCCTGACCACGCTGACCCCTCCCTGCCCCCGTGCCCCCCGTGCCTATGCCCTGCTGACCCCCCTGTTCCCCCCATACCCCCCTGTGCCCCCCGTGCCCCCCGCTCTGCCCCCCCTGACCCTCCTCTCTCCCTCTCCCCGCAGGCCGGGGCCGAGATCTCCACGGTGAACCCCGAGCAGTACTCGAAGCGTTTCAACGAGTTCATCTCCAGCATCCTGGCGTAGAGAGGAGCTGCAGGGCTGCAGGGCTGCATGGCTGGACAGCACCGCTGCAGCAGCAGCAGCAGCAGCAGCAGCAGCAGCGGCACCTCGTGCCAAACCCATCCTCACCCTCGCTGTGGCACCAGCGCCCGAATCTCCGAGGGCTTTTTCCAGACGAGCCAAGCGCCTCCTTCCAGCCCTGCCCACGGTGCCCGGGGACGTTTTCTGCTCCTGCCGAGGGGGTGGCACGCAGCTGGCACTGTCCCCAAAGCAACACCACCCCCAAGGCTGGCACTGTCCCCCCAAAAGTGACACCACCCCCAGAAGGGTGACACCGGAGCAGTGCCTGACTCACCAACCACTCCTCGTTTTTTTTGTGCTGTTGTTGTTGTTTTTGTTTTATCGGACTGGATTCATCCAGAAAAACAATCAAAAAAAAAAATACACAAAAATCCCCTTTTTTTTATTTCCCTCTCGCTAGGAATTGGAAGGAAACCAGCTCAGCATTTCAAGGATGGGCAAACAGAACTCTGATAAAAAAAGGAGGAGTTGCTGAATTTTAGGTAAATTCAGACTGGGACACTTTACTTTTTTTTTTTTTTTGGTTAATTTAAGGAATGGGGAAAAAAAAAAACAACGCAAACCACTTTTTTGTAACTGCACTCGATTTACAAGAAAGATGAGGGAAATGAACATCTACCAAAGATGATCTCTGAAAAAATCAAAAGGTGGAACTCTTAAAAACTAAAAACAAGCAGAGAAATGAGAGAGGCTCAGCTCCTGATGTGCTCAGAGCTGGGCTGATTTCACTCAGCCAGCCCTGAAAATTTCCTAAAGAGAAAAGTTAAAAAAAAAAAAATTAAAAAAAAAGGCATTTTTGTACCTGTAGATCAGATTTGGAGCCATTTCCTCATCCAGGAGTGGCTCTGAGGTCACCACCATCCTGCCAGTGTTAATTAGCTAATTAATTAACCACTCAGTCTTCCTTCCTGCTGCAGCTCCTGACAGAGCTCGCTGGGTTGGTTTTTTGCTGTTTTATTTTTTTAAAAAAATGTGATTTTGCACAGCCTGGCTGCCAGAGGGGGAGCGCTGAGAGCTGAGCTCAACCCCCCAGGAGTGAAAATTATGAAATTTCCACCCAGATTTCATTTCCAGCCCCCCCTCCAAGGATTTTAGGACTGCTTGAAATGACTGAAATCTCCTTTTTTTTAAAATTTTATTTTGTCTCCTTTAACCCTTTCACAGCCAAGCTGGGCAGCCTCGCCGTGGGTTTTGTTTTTTGTTTTTTAATTTTATTTTCATTTCTCTTTCAAAGCAGGATTTAAGAGTTTTGAACAAACCTCTTTGCAGTTGCTTCATCTGCCTTGGAACTGTTTTTCACACTTGCCTTTGTTTGGGAATGTCAGTCCTGTGCTGTGACACTTTTTTTGCTGTGTGGAATTTTTTGGTCCTTTTTCAGACGTAATTTGGTGCTTATTCCCCTAAATTAACGCTGCCTTTGGGCTGGATTCTGAATGGGGTTTTGGTTTTTGTTTTTTTTTAAATTTTATTTCCTTTTCATCCCCTTCCTGATGTGAATCCCACCTCAGGAAAGGCTGGAATTGAACCCCCGAGGGTGCACTGTAAATAGAATTATGGAAAAATTAAAAATTAGGGGTTCTGATGGGATTTGGAGGGTTTTTGGTCCAAATTTTAGTTCCCTCTTTGCTGTCTTAAGGTGTGGAGCTGAAAAAGCCACGACCCAAATGCAGCTAAAAAATACTTTAAAAAAATCAAAAATCAAAATACTTCAAAAATACTTTAAAAAGGACTTCAAGGGCATCATCAGCTTCGTTTTGTGGGCATTAAATTGGTTTTTTTCTCTCTTAATAAGCACTTAAGTTTACTGCTGATTAGGAATTAAACACAAATTACTTTTTATTCCTGACAGTTTTTAAAAAACAAACAAACAAACAAACAAAAAAAAAAATCTGCATTGAATCTGCAACTTTGACCTGGTAAGTTTGCCCTTCTCCTTTTGGGGGAAGTAGCTTGGAATTTTTTATTCTCTTGAAATCATCTATTAAAAAAGAAAAATTTAAATTAAATAAATAAAGAGGAGAAGAAAGGGGGAGGAAGAGAGCAGGAGGTGGGTGAACCCCACAGAGCAAACCCAGAGAAAAGGGAGTGAAAATGGCAAAAAAAAAACCCCAAAAATCTCCTTTATTGAATTGCAGAATAATGAATAAAGAATCAAAAACCAGAAATCCTAACAGATCTGACAAAAACTGAGAGCAGGGAAAATTTCCTTATTCCAGACTCCTGCTGGGATTAAATTTGGGGTGATCTGGGGGGGTCCCACAAAGATTCTGCCCCTTCCTATTATGTTCGAAGTGATTAAATGTGATTTTCTCACCTAATAATGTTTTACCCAGCTATGTAACTTTGTTTAACAGAAGCATTTTTGTATATTGTTTACATTTGGAGAAGTAGCATTTACCTTCCAAATGCTCATTTTTTGTTTCTAGACAGTATTTTTTTCTTAACAGAACGAGAAGCTGCAAATATTTTGATTTGTTTTTAAAAGGGACTTTTTCTTTCTGTTTGTTTTCTTTTTGTTTTGCTTTGTTTTGTTGGTTTTTTTTTCTTTAAAATCTTGTTTTAGGTCACTTTTTTAACATGAGTATTTAAAAAAAAAAAAAAAAAAGGAAAACCCAGCCCTTTAAATTCTGGTTTAACAACTGTTTGTGCTGGTTTGTTTGGTTCTGGTGTGGATTTAATTCTGATTTTTGCTCTGTTCCTGTCCTTGGCACGAGCCCTGCAGAACAGGATTTGCAGCAGAATTCAGGAATTATTTTTGGCCAAAAAAACCCAAAATAATCAGTGAGCAGCACCTGCCCCCTGTGAGGGCAGGAGGAGCTGCAGGATCCGAATTCCTGAGGGATTTAAATCCCCAAAAATCTGCTTTGGGCTGGGAATTCCCACCTGGGCTGCTGGGGCAGCCCCGAAATGAGAGGGGGAACTGGGAGGGAACTGGGAGGGAACTGGGATGGGAACTGGGATGGAACTGGGATTAGAACTGGGAGGGAACTGGGATTAGAACTGGGAGGGAACTGGGACTAGAACTGGGAGGGAACTGGGATGGAACTGGGAGGGAACTGGGATGGGACTGGGATTAGAACTGGGAGGGAACTGGGATTAGAACTGGGAGGGAACTGGGACTAGAACTGGGAGGGAACTGGGATGGAACTGGGAGGGAACTGGGATGGGACTGGGATTAGAACTGGGAGGGAACTGGGATTAGAACCTGGAGGGAATTGGGATGGGAACTGGGATAGAACTGGGAGAGAACTGGGATGGGATTGGGATGGAACTGGGATTAGAACTGTGGGGGAATTGGGATGGGAACTGGGATGGGATTGGGATGGAACTGGGAGGGGAGTGGGATATAACTGGGATGGGAACTGGGATGGAACTGGAGTGGTAATTGGGGTGGAACTGGGAGGGGACTGGGATTGGACTGGGATTGGAACTGGGGATGGGAGCTGGGATGGAACTGGGATAGGACTGGGATGGAACTGGGATGGGACTGGGAGGGAATTGGGATGGGAACTGAGATGGAACTGGGATGGGAGAAGGAGGGAATTGGGAAGGAACTGGGATAGAACTGGGGTGGAACTGGGAATTCCAGGGCTGGGATGAAGGCTGGGATTTGGGGAGCAGCCCCAAAATTTACCCCACTGGGGACAGAATTCACCCTGTGGGGATGGAATTCATCCCATTAAAGGGACAAAATTTATCCTGTGGGGATGGAATTTACCCCATGGGGACAGAATTCATCCTGTGGGGACAAAATTCACCCCATTAGAGGGACAAAATTCATCCTGTGTGGATAAACAACCCCAAATTCCCCAAAAATTCCTGCAGGGCCAAAATCCCAGCCCTGCCCCCTGTCCTGCCTCTGTGGGGTGGGTCCCGTGGAAATTTGGGATGTCAGAGCTGTGGAAATTCCATTTTTAGTGAAAACCACCCCAAAATTTCTGGGCTGCGGCTGGATGGGAGCAGAGAGAGCAAATTCCACACACAGCTCAGGAGGGTGGGCAGGGTTAAAAAATCAGTGCAAATGAACTGAAAAGAAAAAAAATAATGTGAATAAATTAAGTTTAATCTAAAAACGAAAAAAAAAATTAAACAAAAAATTTTAAAAAAATGTAAAAAAAGGAACATTCTAGGTTTTTTTCACTGCTGTTTTTTAAATAGGAATTTGAAGTCCTCTGTGCTTGTCTGTTTGCTAGGAGAATTTGAGACACTGTTATTGTTTTGAAATGCATGCGTGTTACCAGATGAGTCTCCAACCAGAGAAAAAAAAAAAGAAAAAAAAGAAATAAAATTAAAACTTTGTGTACATCTGGGCCCTCCCTGCCGTGCTCTTTGAGGGGTCACCCTCAGCTGGGGGGACAGGATGGGGGAAATTGGGGTTTAAATGGAATTTTGGGATTGGCTGGGGGGGGCTGATCCATCCCTGGAGTCCAGAGATTTCTGGAATTCGCTTAAATTAACAAAATTAATTCAGCATTTCTATTTTAACTTGTTGAATTTTAACCCATTACTTAAAAAACCTCTGTCGTGGTACAAAAGGCCATAAGGAACAATTCAAATTACTGAAGGTTCTGGCATAAGGAACAATGACAAAAAGAGAAATGTTGTGTAAATACCTTTAGAAAATAAAGATTTGGGTTAGACTAAAGCTCAGTGCACAAGTTTTTGGAGAAATATCTCAATTTTTCTGGGCAGTCACAATACAAACCCACCTCTAAATATGCCAGGTTATAGAGTAAATTTATTTATTCTGTGTATTGCTTCAGGAACCTGGGCTTGAAATGGAGATTTTTGGCATTAAGTGAACAACAAGAATGAAACATTTCTATTTTAACTTGTAAAATGATGTGTTGGGTTCCCAGGGAGGGAATTCTGTGTCCCCTCTGGGTCCCCTGTGTGTGTCCTGGCACCCACAGTGACACCCCAGGGTCCCCTCTGTGACACCCCTGGGTCCTGGCAGCCAGGGTGGGCCCTGCTCAGAGGCAGCCAAAGGGACTCCAGGGCATTTTTTAAATTTTATTTTATTTTATTTTACAAAAATCCCGAGCGGGCCCAGAGCCGGGCTGGGCTAATCCATGCGAGCCTTGAGCGTCCTGGTGGTGATCTTGTCCTTCTCTCTGCGGGAACAGAGGGGATGGCACTGCTAAAGCGGGCTGGAAGGGGTTAAACCGGGCTGGAAGGGGTTAAATCTGGGCTTGAAGGGGTTAAATCCTGGATAAAAGGGGTTGAATCCGGGCTTGAAGGGGTTAAATCTGGGTTTAAAGGGGATTAAAGGGGTTAAAGCTGGGCTGGAATTCCAGGAGTCAGTGCTGGATCCTCATGCCATGGGAATTTTGGGATTTAAATGGGAATTTTGGGAGTTAAATGGGAATTTTGGGAGTCAGAGCTGGATCCTCATTCCCATGGGAATTCCAGGAGTTAATGGGAAAGGGGAAAAGGGAAAATGAAAAGAAAAAGCAAAGGAAAAGGGAAAGGAAAAGGGAAAGGATGCTCAGCTCCTTGGATTTGGGGGATCCTCGGAAGGAAGGGAAACGGGGCAGTGCCAGCCCTGGAATTGGGGATCCCTGAGGGAAGGGAAAGGGAAAAGGGGAAATAGGAAAGGGAAAAGGGAAAGGGGAAAGGGAAAAGAAAAGGGAAAAGAAAAGGGAAGGAAACAGGAAAAGGAGAAAAGGAAAGGGAAAAGGAAAGGAAAAGGGGAAAGAAAAGGAAAGGAAACAGGGAAAGGAAAAAAGGAAAGGGAAAAGGAAAAGGGAGGGGAGGGGAAGGGAAGGGAAGGGAAGGGAAGGGAAGGGAAGGGAAGGGAAGGGAAGGGAAGGGAAGGGAAGGGAAGGGAAGGGAAGGGAAGGGAAGGGAAGGGAAGGGAAGGGAAGGGAAGGGAAGGGAAGGGAAGGGAAGGGAAGGGAAGGGAAGGGAAGGGAAGGGAAGGGAAGGGAAGGGAAGGGAAGGGAAGGGAAGGGAAGGGGGAGGACAGCAGCTCTCACATGACGTGCACCACCACGCCCATGCCCGAGATCGCGTCCCTGTCCACGGCGTTGAGCATGGCCTGCGAGATGGTCTCAAAGAGGTGCTCGGGCTCCTGGGGAGAAACGGGGTTGACCTGGGCTGCAGAGCTCCCCAGAACTCACCCAAACCCCCAGAACTCACCCCAACTCCCCCAAACTCACCCCAACCCCCAAAACTCACCCAAACCCCCCAAAACTCACCCCAACCTCCAAACCCTGCAGGCTTCCCCCACCAGGTGCAGCAAGGTGTCCCCAGATGACCCCAGGACACCCCAGATGTCCCCAGGTGTCCCCCCCAGGCTGTCCCTGGGTGTCTGCAGGTGTCCCCAGATGAAGCTGGGTGTCCCCAGGTGTCCCCAGGTGACCCCAGATGTCCCCAGGTGTCCCCTCCACGTGTCCCCAGTTGACCCTGGGTGTCCCCCCCAGGCTATCCCAGATGACCCCAGGTGTCCCTGGGTGTCCCCACGTGTCCCCAGCTGTCCCCAGACTATCCGAGGCTGTCCCCCTACATGTCCCCAGGCCATCCCATCTGTCCCCAGCTGTCCCCAGGTGTCTCTAGGTGTCCCCAGACTATCCCAGATGACCCCAGATGACCCTGGATGTCCCCCCCAGACTATCCCAGGCTATCCCCACGTGTCCCCAGGTTATCCCAGGCTATCCCCACATGTGTCCCCACATGTCCCCACGTGTCCCCAGCTGTCCCCAGTGCCACTGACCATGTCTGGCTCCCAGAGGGACTCGCACATGCCGTACATCTGCTCGGAGCAGCTGCCCCCAGGCTGTCCCCACGTGTCCCCAGGCTACCCTACGTGTCTCCACGTGTCCCCAGCTGTCCCCAGTGCCACTGACCATGTCTGGCTCCCAGAGGGACTCGCACATGCCATACATCTGCTTGGAGCAGCTGCCCCCAGGCAGTCCCAGCTGTCCCCCCACATGTCCCCACATGTCCCCACGTGTTCCCAGCTGTCCCCACGTGTCCCCAGCTGTCCCCAGCTGTCCCCAGTGTCACTGACCATGTCGGGCTCCCAGAGGGACTCGCACATGCCGTACATCTGCTCGGAGCAGGTGCCGCTGAGCACGAAGTCCTGGGTGACCATGGGGCAGCCGATCAGGTCCAGCGAGCAGATGAACGGCTCCAGGCTGACCGGGTCCAGCCCCGCGATCACCGGCTCCGCGTAGTACGGCCCGAACCTGGCACGGGCAGGGCACGGGGGGCACGGGGGTCATCCCTGGGGGCACGGGGACCGTCCCTGCCCTTCTGGGGTCACAGGGGTCATCCCTGGGGGCACGGGGACCGTCCCTGGGGGCACGGGGGTCATCCCTGCCCTTCTGGGGTCATCCCTGGGGTCAGAGGGACCATCCCTGGGGTCACGGGGATCCCATCCCTGACAATTTTTCCCAAGTTTTTTCCCAGTTTTGTGCAATTTTTGCATTTTTCCCCAGTTTTTTGCCGGTTTTTTTTGCCACGTTTTTTTTCCAGTTTTTTGTAGGTTTTTGGGGTTTTTTTGTTTTTTGTTTTCTTTTTTTTTTTTTTTTGCCATTTTCCCCAGTTTTTTTCCCAGTTTTTTGCATTTTTCTGCAGTTTTCCCCACTTTTTTTTCCCAGTTTTTTTTTTCCATTTCCCCCAGTTTTTTCCCCCAGTTTTCGCAGTTTTTTTGCATTTTTTTGATTTTTTTTTGCCATTTTCCCTATTTTTTCCCTTTTTTTGCAGTTTTTTGCATTTTTCTGAATTTTTTTCCATTTTTTTCCCAGTTTTTTGCAGTTTTTTCCCCAGTTTTCAGCCTCACCTCCTCTCGTAGAGCAGGTTGGACACCATGCTCATGAAGGTCTGGGGCTTGATCTGCCTCCCCTCCTTCAGCTCGTAGAGGTTCAGCCGAAACTTCAGCCGCTGCGCCCTGGGGGAAAGGGGAATTTTCGGAGTTAAAGTTGGGATTTAGCAGGGAAAAGTGAATTCTAGCACTTGAATTTTAGCAGGAAAAGTGAATTTTAGGGGTTAAAAGTTGAATTTTAGGAGTGAAAGTTGAATTTTAGCAAGGAAAAGTGAATTTTAGGAGTTGAATTTTAGCAGGGAAAGGTGAATTTTAGGAGTTAAAATTGAATTTTAGCAATGAAATTTGAATTTTAGCAGGGAACTCCCAACTCCAGCAGGGAAATCCCAACTCCAGCCGGGAATTCCCAGCCCCACAGCCCCATCCCCGCCCCGGTTCCCTCCCCGTTCCCGGGCCCGGTTTTCCCGGTTCCCTCCCGTTCCCCACGCCCGGTTCCCCCCCACCCCTGTTCCCTCCCCAGTTCTCCCCGTTCCCCGCCCCGGTTCCCCCCATTCCCCCCTCCCGTTCCCCCCGTTCCACCCCCGGTTCCCCCAGCCCGGTTCCCTCCCCGTTCGTCCCGCCCGGTTCCCCCCGTTCCCTCCCTGTTCCCCCTTCCCGTTCCCCCGTTCCCCCCGTTCCCCCTGCCCGGTTCTCCCCGTTCCCGCCCCGTTCCCTCCCCGTTCCCCCCCCGTTCTCCACCGGTTCCCCCCGGTTCCCTCCCCGTTCATCCCACCCGGTTCCCCCCGTCCCCCCCCCAATTCGTCCCACCCGTTCCCCCCGTTCCCCTGCCCGGTTCCCTCCGTTCCCCGCTCCCGTTCCCCCCATTCCTCCCCCCCGGTTCCCTCCCCGTTCCCCTGCCCGGTTCCCCCCGTTCCCCCACCCCGTTCCCCCTCCCGTTCCCACCGTTCCCCCGTCCGGTTCCCCCGTTGGCCCCCCCGTTCGTCCCGCCCGATTGCCCCCGTTCACCCCCCAAGTTTCCCCCCGGTTCCCTCCCCGTTCCCCCGCCGGTTCCCGTTCCCCGGCGCTCACACGCTCTGCACGTCCGTGGCCAGCCCCGCCAGGCCGAGCAGCAGCCGCTGCCCCATGGGGAAGATCCGCTGGCAGTCGGTGCTCACGGTCTGCGCCTGGATCCCGAACCGCCGGTCGGCGGCGATGGCGACGCAGCCCCGGCCCCGCATGGCCAGCACGGCCCCGCCGTTGTACGCCAGGATGGACTGCGGGACACCGGGAGTGGTCACCGGGACAGCCCCGGCACCGGGAGTCATCCCCCGGTACCGGGGTTCATCTCTCGGGACGGCCCCGGTACCGGGGTTCATCTCTCGGGACAGCCCCGGTACCGGGATTCATCTCCTGGAGCATCCCCGGTATCGGGGTTCAACTCCCGGGCCAGCCCCGGTACCGGGATTCATCTCCCGGGCCGGTACCGGTACCGGAGGCGCCGCCGCGGGTCTCACCATGGCTGCGGCTGCTCGGTGACGCCTCTGTCAGTCCCCGCTGTGTGCCGGTTCTGCCCCGCTCCTGTCCCGGTTCCGCCCCGGTTCCGTCCCCGCTGTGTCACCGCTCCCGGTCTCGCTCCGGCCCTGCCGCGCCGCCGCTGCTCCCGCCCCCCGCCGCTTCCCATTGGTCAAGATCAGTGCCACTCCCGTCTTTGGCTCTTTCCATTGGTTATTTCCACTGCCACTCCCGCCCTCACCGCTTTCTATTGGCTGCCGCCATCTCGCTCACAGCGATGCTTCCCATTGGTCGCTGCGACCGCCGCTCTCACTTTGGCGCTTCCCATTGGTCGCCCGGGGTGCGCGCAGGTGATTGGCTGAGGCGGGGGGGATGGCGCTAGTGATTGGCTGAAATGGGTAGGGTGGGCGGGACGGGTGCAGGTGATTGGCTGAGACAGGTAGCGTGGGCGGAACGGGAAATGGCGAGTCACTGCGAAGCGCGCGAGGCACGACGGGAGGGGGGGCGGGGCCGCGGCTGGGAAATGGGAAAGGCCGGAAACTGGAACGGCTGAAAATGGGAATGGGTGGGAAAATGGAACAGCCGGAAACTGGAACCGCGGGAGCTGGGAATGGGTGGGAAAATGAGAACAGCTGGGAATGGGGAAACAGCTGGAAATGGAAACAGCTGGAATTGGAAATGGCTGGAAATTGGAACATCTGGGAATTGGGGCACAGCTGGATCTGTCAGGATGCGCGGCACATCCCGGCCCCGATGTGCCGGCGGGGCCCGGCCCGCGCCCGTCCTGCTGTTCCATCCCAATTTTAAATCCCAAATTTTAATCTTATTTTTAAATCCCATTTTTAAACTGCATTTTTGAGGGGTTTTCCGTTTAAAACCCCGGGATTGATCCCCGGGCTGAAACGGGAATTCCAGCGTTTCGGGAATCCCGGCCTTTCGGCAATTCTGGCATTTCAGGAATTCTGGCATTTCAGGAATTCCAGTTTCAGGAATTCCAGTTTCAAGAATTCTGGCAGTTTGGGAATTCCAGCGTTTCGGGAATTCCAGAATTTTGGGAATTCTGGCATTTCGTGAATTCCAGTTTCAGGAATTCCAGCATTTCGAGAATTCCAGCATTTCAGGGGGGACGCTCGCCCTGGGAGCTCCTTCAGCTTCACTTTGGGGAGAAATTCGGGATTGGGATGGAAAAACAGGAATTGGGATGGAAACAGGAATAGGGATGGAAACAGGGATTGGGATGGAATCAGGGATTGGGATGGAAACAGGAATTGGGATTGAGATGGAAGCAGGGACTGGGATGGAAACAGGGATTGGGATGGAATCAGGGATTGGGATGGAAAAACAGGAATTGGGATGGAAACAGGAATTGGGATGGAATCAGGAATCCAATCTCCCCCCCGGCAGCACAGCAGGGACTGCCCGGGGCACACCGGGAGCGGCTTCTCCGCCTGGCCGGGAGCACCGGGAGCGGGTCCCGTATCCCGGAACGTTCTCCGTGCCCGGTTCCGTCCGTGCCGGCACCGGGAAAAGCGGGAAAAGCGTTGGGAAAAGCGGCGGCAAAAGGAGCGGCTCCGTCCCTGGGTGGGCTCGAACCACCAACCTTTCGGTTAACAGCCGAACGCGCTGACCGATTGCGCCACAGAGACCGCGCTGCCCGCCGCCCGCGCCGCCGCCACTGCGCACCGGGATACCGGGAACACCGGGAATGCCGGGAATGCCGGGGAACGGGAATACCGGGAATACCGGGAACGGGAACGGGACACTGGAAATATCGGGAATGGGAACGGGAACGGGAACGAGAATGGGAATGGGACAGCGGGAATACAGGGAATACTGGGAACGGGAATACCGGGAATGCCGGGGATACCGGGAATACCGGGAATGCCGGAGATACCGGGAACGGGAACGGGAATGGGACAGCAGGAATGGGAACGGGACAGTGGGAATACCAGGAACTGGAATAGAGGCAGCGGGAACACGAACGGGAACGGGAATACCGGGAGCGGGAAAGGGAACGGGAATGGGAACAGGAATGGGAACGGGACAGTGGGAATACCGGGAATGGGAATGGGAACGGGAACGGGAATGGGGACAGCGGGAATGGGAACAGGAATGGGAAGGAGACAGCGGGAATACAGGGAATACCGGGAATACCGGGAATGGGAGCGGGAACAGGAATACCGGGAACGGGAATGGGACAGCGGGAATGGGAACACGGGAATACCGGGAACGGGACACTGGGAATACCGGGAACAGGAACGGGACAGCGGGAATGGGAACGGGACAGCGGCAATACCAGGAATACCGGGAATGGGAGACCGGGAACGGGACTGGGACAGTGAGAATACCGGAACAGCAGGAATGGGACACCGGGAATGGGACCGGGAGACCGGGAATGGGGACGGAGCAGGGACACCGGAAATGGGACACCGGGATACCGGCAATGGGAACATGATACCGGGAATGGAATTGGGACACCGGGAACGGGACATCGGGAACGGGACACCGGCACCGGGGCAACCGAGCACCGAGACCGGAGCCGGCTTTTCCATTTTATTTTATTTTATTTTATTTTATTTTATTTTATTTTATTTTATTTTATTTTATTTTATTTTATTTTATTTTATTTTATTTTATTTTATTTTATTTTTTCCTTCCTCCACACTCCAATTTCCCATTTTCCCGCTCGAAATTCCCTCTATTTTTTAATTTTTTTTTCTTCCTTTTTCCCTCCCTTTTCCCTTTCCTTCCCCCGAGGGTCCCGCTTGTCCCGGGTCAAAATTTGGGACCAAAACTGGGGGTGGGGTGACCTCACCGAATTTTGGGGCTATTCCAGCGGATTTTGGGGCTGTGGTCTCGGCGATCATTGGGGTCTGGGGGTTTCGGGGGGGGTCCCCAAATTTCGGTCCCTCCTCCGCAGCCCCCCCAAAAAAATGAGGTCACGTGAGGCGGGCGGGGCCTGGAGGTGGGAAAAAATAATTTTAAAAAAATTAAAAAATAAAAAGAGGAGAAAAATTAAAGAAAAAAAAAAAGAGGAAAAAAATTTAAAAAAAAAAAGGAGGAAGGAGCAAAAAAAATAAAAAGAGGGCGGGAAAAAAAATTAAAAAGCGAGAGAGTAGAGGGGAAAAAAATAAAAAATAAAATAAATAAAAAAATAAGAAAGGGCCGCAGCGCCGCCCGAGCCGAGCGGAGCCGCGGGAGCGGAGGGGCGGCCCCGGGGCCGCCGCCGCCGCCGCCACCAGGTAGGGACCGGGCCCCGGTGTCCCCCCACCGCCACCGGGCCGGGCCCCGCCGCCGCCACCCCCCAAAGATGGCGATGGCCGCACCGGCAGCACCGGGAGGTGCCCCGGGACCCCTCCCCGGGATCGCACCGGCAGCACCGGGAGGGCTCCGCCGCCGCCCCCGCACCGCGCCCGGCACGGTGGCACCGGGACCGGCACCGGGACCCCCCCACGCCCCCATCCCCGGGGCGGGCGGAGACAGCCGGTGCTGAGTACAAAGGGGACGCCCCACCGGGGCTACCGGGGCCACCCACATCCCACCCGGTCCCATCGCGGCGGGAGCGGCCGGGGGGAGCAACCGGGCACCCCAACCGGGCACCCCAACCGGGCACCCCAACCGGGCACCCCGGGGGAACGAGGCCACCCCCGTGGTCGTGTCCCCCGTGTGTCAGTGCCCACCCCGGTGTCCGTGTCCCCCCGCCGGTGTCCGTGTCCTCCCCGTATCCGTGTCCCCCGCCCCAGTGTCCCGGTTCCCCCCGGTGTGTCCCGGTCCCGCCCGGTGTGTCCCGTGTCCCCCCGTGCGTCCCACCCCGCGCTCCCGTCCCACCGCCGCTCCCGGTGCCGTGTGCCCGTGTCCTTGTCCCCCGCACGCTTTGCGGTCACGCGTGTCCAGCGGGGCTCCCGCAGCTCCGGTGCCGCGTCCCGCACACCGGGAACGGGGGGGGGTGGAGGGGGGGATCCCGGCGGGCACTACCGGGGCTGTCCCCTCGTGTCCCCGGTGCTGTCCCCGCGTGTTCGCGGCGCTCCGGGCCCCGCGGGCGCCGTGCGAGGCCCGGGCCGTCCCGGGAGAGCCGTCCCGGGGCATTTCCCGAGCCGCCGCCGGGGGGTCCCGCCGTGACTTTGAAACGCCCTTCCCCACCCGTGCCCGTTCCCGGGGGGCCCCGGGGAACCGGGGGGGGACACCGGGCCGGGCCACCGCCCACGGAGACAAAAGAGCCCGAAAGTCGCGGCCGGGGGTGCGGGAGCCACCGGCGGGACAGCGGGCGGAGGGGGGGTCCCGGGGGGCTCCGGGGGGACCGGGGCTTTGTCCCCCGCGCCCTCCCCGGTACGGGAAACCGCGGCCGTTATCGCCGGTTTGTTAGAACCGGTTTGCGCCGGTGGCTCGGGCTCCCCCCTCCCGCCGAGCCCCGGGGCCGCCATTGGCGGCTGCGAGCACCGAAAGCGGCGGAATCGTCCCCAAAATACAACCGGGGGTCCCCGGGGCACGGTGGGGGGGAGAGGGGGGACGGGGATACGGCACCGGGGGACACCCGGTACCGAGGGGGGACGGGGACACGGCACCGGGGGACACCCGGTACGGGGGGAGGGGGCGGGGCTGGGCTGGGAGGGGGTCCCGGGGGTCCCCAAAACCCTCCCGCGGCTCCTGAGCCCCCCCGGTTGCTGCCACTCAGCACAGCGGGGTCCCCGTCCCGGTCCCTGTGGTGTCCCCGAGGTCCCCATCCCAGAGCTGTCCCCATCCCTGTCCCTGTCATGTCCCCTGTCCCTGTGGTGTCTCCATCCCGATCTCAATGGTGTCCCTGAGGTCCCCAGCCCAGCAGTGTCCCCATCCCTGTGCTGTCCCCATGCCGGTCCCTGTGCTGTCCCCATCCCTGGTGTGAGTGTCCCTGTGCCTGTGTACTGCAGCCCTTGTGTGTCCCTGTGTGTCACACGTGTGTCCCTGTGTCCCTGTGTGTCACACGTGTGTCTCACAGTGTCCCCGTGTGTCACACGCATCCCTCTGTGTGTGCCAGTGTGTCTCAGTGTGTCCCCAGGTGTCCCTGTCTGTGTCCCCGTGTGTCACACGCCTGTCCCCGTGTGTCACACGCGTGTCCCCGCGGCCGCGCGGTGCCACCGCCGCTGCCCGGCCCTTTCCGCCG